CAGGCTGATCTTCAACTCACTTTGTACCCCAGGCTGGTCTTGAACTTGAAGTGATCCTCGGGCCTAAACTTCCCGAGTGCTGGGATTAGAGGCATGCACCACCAGGCCTGGCTCCAGGCTGGCTTTGAACTTGTTATGTAGCCCAGATTGACCTCAAACGTGCAGAGTTTCTCCTGCTTCAGCCTCCCAAGTGCTGGGATTACAGTTGTGTGCCACTATGCCCAGCTAATAAGGCATTTCAGAGAAGCCACACTCAAAGGCATGAATTAGGAGCAGACTGGGGGTTGTGTGTACAGAAGTTATTACTATTCATTGTTAGGGCATCTCTCGTGTACTGAGGCATGACCCTAATCAGTGAAAATGGACAATCTGTCCTCAAGGAGCTCCAGTCTGGAAACTAGGCATGGTGGTATGTGCTTGTAATCGCAACATGCTCAGAATTCCTGAGGCTCAGGCAGGAGGATCACAAGTTCAAGACCAGCGTGGGCTACCTAGTGAGTTCAAGATCAGCCTAGACTACATAACAAAATCCTATCTCAAGCAAACAAACAAAGAAACAGAAAGGCTCAAGTTTTGGTAAATGGGAGGGTAGATACTAAAATATGGGTAATGTATATTAGTTCACAAGAAGGTAAGCCCCCCTGCCCCCAAAAGAAGAAAACTTAGCTCTCCTGTTCATCAGTGTATTCCCAAATACCTAGAGCAGTGTTAGGCACAAAGAAAGTGCTCAGTAGATGCATACTGCTAGCTGGGAGATATAGAATAATATTGACATTTACCATTTACAGAGCACATACATCTGCCAGGTACTCTACTGAGTTTTTGTTTTTGAGACAGGGTCTCATAATGTTGCCCAGGTTGGCCTCAAATTCCTGGGATCAAGTGATCCTCTGCCCTCAGCCACCTCGGTAGCTGGGGCTACACACAAGTGCCATCGCACTTGGCCCAGAGTTGGGTTGTTTGGGTTTTTTTGTCCTTTTTTTGAGACAGGGTCTCGCTATGCAGTTCAGGGTGGTCTTGAGCTCACTTTGTAGCCCAGGCTGGTCTTGAACTCACAAGGATCCTACTGCCTCAACCTCCCGAGTGCTGAGATTACAGGCATGCGCCACCATGTCCGGCTGGCCCAGAGTTTTACACATGAGATTTTTTTTTTTTTTTTTTAGACAGGGTCTCACTATGCAGTTCAGGTTGCCCTTAAACTCATTTTGTAGCCCATGATGCCCTGGAACTTGCAGCGATCCTTCCTGCTTCAGCCTCCCAAGTACTGGGATTATATATAGGATCTTATTTGATCCCCTGACCCTGTGAAGTACTATAATTAGATCATTTTAACAGTTTTGGGAGGGCTGGGGATTTAGCTCAGAGGCACAGCGCCTGCCTGGCAAGCGCAAGGTCATGAGTTCAATTCCTGGTACCAGAAAAAAAAAACAAAAAAAATAACAGTTTTGGGAACCAAGGTGCTACAGAAGCAGCTTTCTAACTTTTCAGTCTACCCTCTGAACCTAGAGTCTACAGTTCAAAATGCTGTTTGGGAGTTTCTCTGGTAGCTGATTGAAAAATGCAGGAGAAGCTCTAAGATAGGAGGACTCTGTGAGTGAAACCAGTATTAGGAGACCATGTAAGATTTACAGCAGTTACAGTGGGAATGGAGAAGAAAGGAATTTTCTTTTGCACTTCAAAGGGCTTCTAAATAAAGCTCGGAGCTTGGTAACTTGCTGGATGTTGGAGATGACTAAGTTCCTCATCTGGCAATAGCAAGAATCCTAGAAGAAATAGCTTTTCTCTAATTCCTAGTTCAACATTTTAGACGTATGATCCAAACCTCCAGGTTTGCTAGTCTCCCAAAGCACTTAATAAGGTGCTGGTCACACACAGTAGTGAGCCAGTTCCAAAAGCCACAGAAAAAGGCAGAATTTCAAAGCATGGATGACGCAGAAAAGCCCAGCTAGGGAGCACGAGCACCCTGTAGGCTGGCGGACCCTACAAAGGGAAAGGCGGGACTTGGCCGAGAACTACAACTCCCACAAGGCATCGGGCACAACACAGGACTTCCGGTCATATCTCACGTCCGGCCTCTGGGTTGCTGACGTTCTTTTCCGGTCGTGGCGGCTCCAGATAGGCAATGGGGATGCACACGGTGAGTCCGAGACGCAGCGGGCACGAGTGGGCGAGGTCCGAGACTTGTGTTCGCGCGTCACTCTGCCCCCGGAGGATAGCGCGGGAAGGGCAGAGGGCGCGCGGGCGGGTGACGTGTAACCTTGACAGGAGGAGGAGGGGCAGAGCGGAGGGGGCCGCGAGGACCCAGAAGGGGATTTGGGGACGAAGACGGGTGGGACCCCTGGAGGTGGAAAGACAGGGTAGGAGCAGGGTCGTGGGAGGAACCCGCCGGCGAGCGGTGGGACTGTGTGGAGCTAGACAGAGGAGGAGAGGGGCAGCGGGAAGGCTGCAGCGATGAGGACCGTGGGAGGCACAGTGGGACATTGCCGCAGATTCGAGATCGGAACTTCCAGACGCGAGATCTGTATCTCCAGATCCGAGATGGGCATCCCCTGCAAGCCCTCGTCTGGCCGCGCAGTGTTCTTTCTTTTTTTTTCTTTTTTTCTTTTTTTTTGGTACTGGGAATCCAACTCAGGACCTTGCGCTTGCCAGGCAGGCACTGTGCCGCTGAGCTATATCCCCAGCCCTCGCAGTGTTCTTTCAGATGAGCCACCAATTGAGAACTCCGGGCTCCTGACAGAAGGAGAGCATGGGTAATGCTGGGGTGGCTGGGCCAGTCTTCAGGCTGAGAGTGGAAATGGTACAAGAAACGGGAAAGGTTAGCACCAGTGGCTTCTGCGTTGATCTGTGGAAAGGTCAGCTGCTCTGGAAGGATCAAGGTGATGGACTTGTAAGGAGGCTGGCAGGAGGACTTGGTGACTTCTACTTGCTCGAGTTGACTGCTTGCTTTGTTCTCCAAAGATGAGGCTGCTGGCATTTGTGACGTTGGTTCTGTCAGCTGTCACTCGTGCAGAGGAAGGAGCCAGGCTTTTGGCTTCCAAATCACTGCTGAACAGATATGCTGTGGAAGGGCGGGACCTGACCTTGCAGTACAACATCTACAACGTTGGCTCAAGGTAAGGGTGCCATTTCAGACTGGGCCCTTTTTGGGTTCTTAGTTCTCAGATGGGTACAGGAAATATCGTGTTATTAGTGATTTCTCTTTGGAAGACTTCTAGCATTAGATAACATGAGTGTATGAAGGTACTACTGGGCTTCCTTTTAGACATGGAGAACTTTTCTTACCTAAGCCGTAAGAAACCATTTTTGGGCTTGGAAGAGTTTCAAAGTACAGAAGAAGAAGCAAGAATTATGAAATAGGGAGGGGACGATGAAGACTCAGAAATAGGTGTTCCTTTGTCACCTCAGGGGTTCAAGTTTCAACTTCCTTATTAGCCTATGAGCAATTTTGTTGCCATTTACTTTATTCCTTTTAATTTTCTGTTCCTTATTTACATTCTCTTTCCCCTCCCTAGACAGATGTGCATATGTGTACACATGTATGCACACGCGCGCGCGCGCGCACACACACACAGATTGAGGCAAAATGGATTTGGGGAAATTCCCTTCTAGATATGCAAGTATTTTGGTACTTTTGAGTAATGGAATCCAGTCCTTGGCCTGGATTCTTCAGTACAACAGGCCCAAATTACTGTATGATTCTCTTGAGTTCTGACTTTTTAGGACAAGCAGGCAGATTTGATTGTTGATTGCTTAGGAACTCTGTTTCCTCTATGTTCTAGTGCTGCATTGGATGTGGAATTATCTGATGATTCCTTTCCCCCAGAAGACTTCGGCATTGTCTCCGGTATGCTCAATGTCAAATGGGACCGGATTGCCCCGTATCCGCTTGGCTGTGTTTAACAAGGGCTGTAAGGAGGAAGGAACATTGCCAACAAAGCAGCAGCAGCACATCAGGCAGGCTGGGTGTGTATGGCTGTTTTGTCATACCTCTGGGTAAACCGAGGCAAGAGGGACCACTGTACATGTGTGAGCATGATTTAGAGTAGAACTAAAGAAGGTTCATAAAGTTCAGTATAAGGCCTTGAAACATACTGGGAGGAGGTAGACACTTCTAGAGATCTATAAAGGTGTGTGTAACTTAGTGGTAGACCACTTGCTTAGCATGCACAAGGCCCTGGGTTCAATCCCTCGTATGGGGGGGAGAAAAGATGTTTGTGGCCAGGCATGGTTTGTTTTTTGTTTTGGGGGGGTTTTTCACTTTTTGAGACAAGGTCTCTATATGTAGTACAGGTTGGCCTTGAACTCAGGCTGGCCTCAAACTCACTGTCATCCTCCTGCCTCACCTTCCCCAGTACTGGGATTATAGGTGTGTACCACCATGCCTGACCCAGGCATGGATATATAAAGTTGTTTTTTTTCTTTTTTGAGGGGCTGGAGATGGAACCCAGGCCTTTGTGCGTGCTACACAAGCACTCTAGACTGAGCTGTATCCTCAGCCCTAAGAGGCTTTTAAAAGAAATCCAGTGGAAACCGGGTATCGGTGGTGCATACCTATAATGTTAGCTAAGGCAGAAGAGTCTCAACTTTGAGCCCAGCCTGGATAATTTATCAGTTTAGCAAGACCCTGTCTCAAAATAAAAAATTTATTTATTTATTTATTTATTTTTTGGTCTTTTTGAGACAGGGTCTCGCTATGCAGTTCAGGCTGACCATGAGCTCACTTTGTAGCCCAGGCTGGTCTCGAACTCAGGACAATCCTCCTGCCTTAGCCTCCCAAGTGCTGGGATTACAGGCATGCACCACCACACCTGGCTCAAAATAAAAAATTTAGAAAGGAAAGAAGTTCAATGGGATGCTGGCTTAGAGGACCTGTATAACTTTTTAAAAGTCTCTTATTTAGTGAGTCTCTTTCTCCTATCTCTCAGTTATTTCATAAATAGTGAATTAGATGGTTGATGCTTGTTTTTTTCTCTTGTGAGTTAAAGTATATTTACTTGGGTGTGGTGGTGCATGTCAGTAAGCCCAGCGCTTGGGAGGCTGAAGCAGGAGGATTTCAAGTTTGATGCCAGCTTGGGCTACATAGCAAGACCCTGTGTCCCCCATCACCACCTCAATACAGTTGAAAGGTGTTATATTACATCACACACTTTAGATTTTTTTAAAGTCTATTTTTTTCATTTGTGTAGAGTATTATAGTGATGAAGTCACCACATATGTTGGCAGCTGTTTCGGGGCTGATACATTTGGTCCACAACATGAAAGATGGTTAGCACTGTAGCTTCATTTGTTTTCGCTCCCTTAACTCTCGGGCCAGCGCTAGCAACGTCTCCCACACCGTGGTCCTGCGACCTCTTAAGGCTGGCTACTTCAACTTCACCTCGGCAACCATCACCTACCTGGCCCAAGAGGATGGGCCTGTTGTGGTAAGTTGCCAAGTCCCGAGCTGGACAGGACTGAAATCTGCTTTCCCTTAAAAACCTGCAGAAAGTGTCTGCAGAGGCCACTAAATTCTGAAAGCAATAAGATTGGTCAGAAGGTCGGGGTTGCCCTAAGGGAGTAGCTTCAAAGTAGAATGTTTGAAATTTCTTTTTTTTTTTTTTTTTCCCGGTACTGGGAATCGAACTCATGACCTTGTGCTTGCCGGGCAGGTGCTGTGCCGCTGGACTAAATCCCCAGCCCCAAAGTAGAATGTTTGGAAGGAGCAGTTGACGTGGATGGGCGGGGGTGCCTAAGAATTCCCTTCTTCTTCCCTCTGCTTTCCTTGCAGTCTGGAATGTGTCAACTGCTGCCTGGTTCATTGCTACTTTTGCCTTTTAGTCATTTTCTAAGGCACTGCCAGATTATTCCAGGCTCTACTGCTCCTCTTCCCCTTTCCTGAGTTGCCTGTTTTTGCCCTCAAGGCTAAGCTGTTCTGGCTGTCATACTCACCCTCTGACTGGCCAGCTGTCCTCAGCCTCCTGGCATCCTCTCCTGTCCCACCACACAGACCCTGGGCCTTCTAAGCCAGGCTCCTGCCTGTACCGCACTGCTTCCTCAGCGCCTGCCCTTTTCTCTTCGCCTTTGTCCTCTGTTTGAAGGTCTCTCTCCTCCACCTCATTATCTGAATCATTCTTGAGAACCAGCTCTGAGCAGTGTCTCCTACACGTCATACTGCCCTCGCCTACTCATTCTTTCCATAAGCATCATTGACTGCACCTAAACTTTTGGCAGCACTTAGTCCATTCCTTCCTTCTTCAGCGGTTTTCCCTTCCTGCCTGCCTTCCTTCTTTCCTTCCTTCCTTCCTTCCTTCCTTCCTTCCTTCCTTCTCCTTTCTTTCATTCATTTATTCATTCATTTTTTGACACAGGGTCTAGCTATGCAGTTCAGGTTGCCTTGAACTCACTATGTAGCCCAGGCTGGCCTTGAACTCACAGTGATCCTCCTGCCTCAGCCTCCCAAGTGCTGGGATTACAGGCTTGTGCTACTACATCTGGCAGTGGGTTTCTTATGTGTGGGTCTTCCTCTTCCTCCCCTCCCTTTCCATTTAATTATAAATTGCTTGAGGCCAGGGATTTGGTTTCTCATATTTAATGGAAATAGTCTTTTGATTGATTGGTGCCATTGATTATTGAGCCCTTGCAACTGTGGGAAATGCCAAAAGATTGAAACACTGTCCAGCCTTCAAAAGTTTAGATCATGAAGCTGGGCAGGTGACACATACTTTAATCCCAGCTGCTTGGGAGGCTGAGGCAGGATTGCAAGTTTGAGAGCAACCTGGGAAATTTAGCAAGATCCTGTTTCAAAATAAAGCTTTTTTTCTTTTTTTCCAAATAAAACTTCTCAAGGCCGGGGATATAGCTTAGTGGCATAAGCGTCTGCCTGGCAATGGCAAGGTCCTCAGTTTGATTCCCGGTACCAAAAAAAAAAAAAAAAATGAAACTTAACAAAAGGGCTGGGGGTATAGCTCAGTTGAGGAGTGCTTGCCTAGCTGCACAAGGATCAATCACCACTACTGCAGAAAAGAAAAACAAAGCTTAGGTTGTACATTTACGAAGCCAAAATGCATGGTCCTCTGAGGACCATACACGTAAGCTATGGGCTTAGGGAGTTCACAGTAGGGAAGTGACTGGACAGACATCTATAGAACTCAAATCTAAAATGCTAGCCAGGCGCAATGGCACGTGCCTATAACCGCAGCACTCAGGAGGCTGAGCCAGCAGGATCTTGAATTTCAAGCCAGCCTGAGCTACATGGTGTGATTCTGTCTCAAAAAATTAAAATAAAATTCTTTAACACTCCATACCCTTTCTATAAACCACCTGGAACACATGATCCTAGCTGTGTTTTCACATCTGTGTCAGTTCTGCCTTCAGAACCAGCCTCAAGACTGTTTCTGCCTGGGGCTGGATGGGTTAATAGATGTAAAATCTAAGAATGAGCTGCCACCTTGGAACACCGTTGTTTGCAGTGTGCTCCAGATGCCTGGCGGCCTCTCAGAGCAGAGGAATGTGGCCCGGACTCAGCCCTCCTCAGTGCTGTACCTTTGGGTGGGACGTTGTGCTTCCAGAAGGCTCCTTGTTATTTATTTGTGCCTCATATCAGCCTGTGAAGTAGGAAGAGTGTTTCACTTGAGAAGTGAGAATGTGGCTGCCCACGCCCGTCATTCCTGTGTACACATGGGCCCGTGGAGGGGCTGGTGGGGTGAGCAGTGTCCCCCGTCCAGAGGCCGAGGCTCTGACTGGAGGATTGAGCCTTAGCCTCAGTTGCACGGTTGGCTGCCTTGAATAAATGTTTTAAGAAATGTTTTTTCTCAGGCCTCCTGGGTCCTACTTCTTTCTTCCCAAGCACTGAGAGAGTCACCCACTTCTCTCTACTTCTTTTCCTCATTTATTTTTCCCCCAGTGCTGGGGATAGAACCCAGGACCTCACAGCTGCTAGGCAAGCGCTGTACCTCGAGCCACCCCGCTGGCCCTTCCTCATCTCCTTGAAGCCCTTGGGCTCTTCGGGAACTAAGAACCCGGTGATTAGAATTGGTTGGTGAGGGGTGCCTGTCCCCAGGTGGGGCGAACTGCCGGCTTGGTCCTAATGTCCTTTCCTTCCTTTCAGATTGGCTCTACCAGTGCACCTGGACAGGGCGGGATCCTGGCTCAGCGGGAGTTTGATAGGAGATTCTCCCCTCACTTTGTAAGCTTTCTGGTGTCCTCTTTTCATTTCCCTGGTGTGAACACCCTGTAGGTTCTGGAACCTCTCAGCCTCTGTAGATGATTTGTTGGCTGGTCTTCCCCTGGCTGGTTTTTCTTGGGGTCTGATGGAGACAGCCATCAAATATCCCAACTTAAGCGTGCCCAGACATTTTGTCAACGAGATCACCATGGCCAGAGCTATAGAATTGGCCTTTTGTCAGCCTTGAGTAGAGCCCCAGTTTAGAGTCATGAGGCTATTTTGGGATTTAAAATCTGGTTAGCATCAGAGGGTCATAGAGCACTGGGAAAGCAAAGTAGGAACTTCGTGGTGGTTTAGTGTAGGAGGAAATTTTGTGAAGACTTGACTGAAATACTGACTGAAGGAATTCATTTATTCATTCATTTTCTAATTACACGCTCATCCTGAGCTTTGCTTCGGGAAAACAGTGGTCGTAACAGCCCCTTCCAGTAAGATTGTATAGGCTCAGCCGACTCCGCGTGTAAGTGGGGAGCTGGACAAGGTGGCATGTTCCTGTACTCCTAGTACTGCAGGAGGCTGAGGCAGGATTGCAAGTTTGAGCTTAGCTTGGGGAACTTAGAAATTTGGTGAGACTCTGCTTCAAAATAAAAAAGGGCTGGGGCTATAGCTCAGTGTGGAGGCCCTGTGTTTAATACCTAGTACTGAAAAAAAAAACAAAAAAAAAAACGACCCAGTAAATGAGGGAAAATGCTATGATGAGGTTGTATGGGCGGTGCTGAAAGAGTGTGCGGCGGGAAGTCTCACCTGGCACTCTCTCCTCGGGGGTCAGAGAAGGTTTAACCAGTCAGGGGGGCACAGCACCGTCTAGGAAGAGGGCATGGTGTGATCCCTGAGTGGCAAGTTGTTTCTGGAGGCTGGAAGGCAGCGGGGAGGTGGGGGACTGGAGGAGAGGGCCCCGGCGTAACCTGAGGGGCAGCCCAGGGAAGGCCTGACGGGCAAGACCGGGGCATCTCCATTTTCTCACACTGTCTGGAAGCCAGTCTGGGCTGGGTCAGGCAAGGCCCTGCTTTCACAGCCTGAAAGGCCGATTGGTCCTTCAGAGCCATTCTGTGTCAGGCATGGTCAGAGAGGAGCTTTCCTGGCCAGTGTCTGCTTAAACGTGGGCTAGGCTGCTTCCTTGCTTATTGGCCCCATTCCTTCCCTGTCTTTTCCGGTACCCTCATCCTTGGTTTTCCTCCGCAGCTGGACTGGGCAGCCTTCGGAGTCATGACCCTTCCGTCCATCGGCATCCCCCTGCTGTTGTGGTACTCCAGCAAGAGGAAGTACGACACGCCCAAAACCAAGAAGAACTGAGCAGGGCTCTCGCCCTCCTCTCTCAAGAAACCAGGTGCTGTCCAGACTCCAGAGGGTCTCTCACATGCGTCTCTTCGTCCTTAACCCTGGCCACTTTCTCCTGGATCCTGCTGTCAGCCAGAGTGAAGGCCGGGACCGGGAGTCTTTGGGAGCCTCCTCCGTTCCACGTGAAGCCATACAAGTAGGGATGCCTTCGGCCACAGCCTGCAGCCCCACTGAGGCGTTGCTGGTGTTACTGGCAGTGTGCGCCCGTAGGTGTCCAGGACGGGCCTTTGGAGGCTGCCAGAGCCCTCCTCACCCTGCCCTCCCCGTCACAAAGCCGTGGGACTCTTGGAGGCCACCTGGTCTCTGTTCTGGGTAAGGAAGCGCTTACCAAATGGGGTTTTCTAATAAAAACAAATACCACACCGACTCGTCTGTTTTCCTGTCAGCCGGTGAGCAGAGGTGCTTGCTGGAGCTCAGGCCTGAGTGCCCTGGCTCTTGGACAAGCAAGCTGAGTTGTCTCCTCGCCACAGGGCTGTGGGTGGTTCTGTCCCTTCTGAGCCTGCGCTGCTGTCCGTCTCTTCCCTGAGTGTTCGCCACGTCAGTCCTGATGTGTCCCCGACCCTTCCCTGCCCGCCAGCTCTCCATAGCTGGAGAAGGTGGTCCTTAGCCCTTCCTGTGCCCCAGGTCCCTCTGACCCATTCACCACCGCTCTTGAGAAGCTTGTGCTTCTCTCTGATTCCACCCCTTTCCTGTTTCGAAACTAGCTTTGCTTGAGCTTGAATATGTTTATTTTTGAGGCCCCGTGCACAGAGCCCAGGGCAGGAAGAAGTGCTCGATCCCCTGGCCGGGGGGCCTGACATGGAAAGGCAGCGAGCGGGGAGAAGCCAGTGTAAGCCGACTCTGTCCAACCCAGGAATGCCGTGGTCTGAGAACGGCCTCCCAGGCAGGAGGGAAACCCAACAAACACCGGCTTTGTTCCCCTGCCCAACTGGTTTAACCTTTCCTCTGCCCAGCAGTGGGAGCCTCTGGGCCCCAGAAGATGAAAAGGACATGGAGACAGCGGGAGGCTCCAAATGGAGTTGCCCTCCGCCAGCTCACCACCCTCTTGCAGGGGCTGCACCTTGGACACCCCAGGACGGGCCAGGTCAGAGGGCAGGAAAGATATTTGCTTGTGTTCATTGTGCTCCTGTGGAAACCTGGAAATGCTCAGGAGAGAGGAGAACAGGGCAGCGGGTCAGAGGCTTGATAGTTCCATACTTACTGTCTTGCTCTCTAGGACTCCAAAATGTCTGTTTCTGGAGGAGGGGACACCTTTCCGTCTGGGGAGTTGCCACGGGGAATAAAATGAGTTAACCTAGAGGAGGAGGGTTTCTGGCGTAGAGTGTGGGGTGCACCTCTTAACTGGAAGGTAGATTTCTTGCCTGGTCTACACTCGGAGGCGCCCCGATCCCGACAGCTCTGGGAGGCTTGGCTGTGCCTTATCCTGCAGGACTCAGTACTTTGTGTCTGGCACTTGTAACGGGGAAGGAGACCAGGAGGGGAGCCCAGGAGCCCACAGGTGACAAGAGAGGCATTGTGAAGGCTGTTCGCGTCGCAGGCACCTTGAAAAGATGCCAAAACCAGATACTCCATCTCTCAAGAGATCAGCTTCCTTGGAGTCAGGATGGAATTTGAACCTCCCTTAAGTGGTGGTGGTGGAGAATATAAGAGCTTCTAAAATCTATAGACACAGAGACTTAGCTGGAGTAGTTGGCGGTGGGACTGAGCCCTCTTACCTTCTTGGGAGAGGTAGTCTGATAGGATGAGTGGCAGCCAGCTCTCTGGTCTTAATGAAAAATGAGCCTCTGGAGGCCTGAACTTGACCTTCAGGTTGAGTGCAGCTCTGTGGGGGGAAAGGGCATGTAGGTACTGACCCCACCTCCTTCCTGGAGATTGGTGCCCAAACCAGAGGCTCCTCCCTAAAAGGCAATACAGATACCAACCCAGCCATCAGATCCCCTCACCCGCTGTAGACCAGCCGTAGGAGCCTCCCACGTTGCCCAGAATTTCAGCTGGCATCTGATCATCCACACACCCAGCCCTGGTACCAGGAGGAGCCAGTGCCTTGACTCCTGCCCCTTTCCTATACCAGGCCTTCAGACTCTACCTGAAGAAAGGGAATGGAAGCAGGAGTGAGAGTTTCCACCCAGCTGAGCACCGTAGCATGCACTGGCTGTATGACCTCAGGTGACCACTTCCCTGTAGGGAGCCTGTTTCATCCTCTGGACAGTCCCAAGACAGGATTTCTGAGGGCCCTCACTTGTAAGATGGTGCAAGTATTTCCTTTCTTTCTTTCTTTTTTTCTTTTTTTTTTTTTTGAGACAGGGTCTCCCTGTGTAGTTCAGGCTTGCCTTGAACTCACTGTGTAGCTCAGGGTGGCCTCAAACTCTCAGCGATCCTCCTCCCTCAGCGTCTCAAGTGCTGGGGTTGCAGGCGTGCACCACCACGCCCAGCCTGCTGTGTTCTTATGCAGTAAGAAACAGTTGATGTCACTTTCTCATCGTGCAGCTTGGGCCCCAGCCAGGGCTGTCTTCTTCCTGTCACTCGGAGGAAGGATTGATGATAGAACATGAACTGAACCCCCTCACTAACAGATCAGGAACAGCGAAGAGAGGGGCTGTCCAAGAGCATAGGCAGGTGGCAGCCCGCAGTTACTGACCACCGTCGACCTGGCACTCGAGTTCCAGTGCCCTATTTGTGCATTTCTGGTTGAACATCCGTCCCCATTTTACACATGAGGGAAGGATGCTCACGGGTAACCATGAGCTCCCCTCACCAGGGAGTCAGCAGAGCCAGCCAAGGTCCCTTAGCTCCAGCAAACCTTTTTCCTAGATGCCAGGGCCCGCAGAGGGTCCCTGCCCCTCACCTCAGGAAGTCTAGGGTCTTCCCATCTGTCCCCTGCCTTCGGGAGAGAAGCAGGGTGAGTCAGCCACACACTCCCCTCAAGCTGTTATCAGAGAGAGGGTGGAGGAGCGGCTCAAACATCCTGCCGCCCGGTATCCACAACAAGCCACGCCATGAGTCCTGTGTGTGTCGAGTTGCCTGGCCACCCTGTTCCTGTTGGCTAAAGCTGGTGCCCTCCTCATCTGGAGCTGCCCTTATAATCGCTCCTCCCTGTACTTTCATACAAAAAACACAATATTTCCTCCTCCACTGCTGTAACCTGCCTCTTAAAGGGACCACCTAGCAGATTTGAAACCAACTTGGAGAGAAAGTAAAGGACCCTGCTGATCCCACAAGCACCCGGCTATTCAGCAGGCTCCCAGGGGTGGCTCCTGTCCTGGGATGCCCTTTCTTCCATCCCTGTTTCTCCTTGGCCCAGTTGGGGGGAGGATGAGAGTTTCCTGGGGGTCAGGCTCCCACATCTGCTCCCCGTGGGGTGACTCCAGCTGAGCCTCCTGCACCTGTTTCCAGGGGAGCCCGAATTCTGTGGCCGCCCTTTGTCCAGGAAGGCCAAGGACAGGGCGGTGGCACGGAAGGGGTTAAAGGCCTGGGCATGGCAGTCTAGGGTGTTTGAAGTAGGGCGGGGAAGGGAAGGGCCGAGTGGTTGGAGAGGCAGCTGGTCTGGGCTAGAGTGAGTCCTTCTGTCTCCTATGCACACTTGTGGACCATGAGCAGCTCCCTTAGACCAGCTGAGAGAGGAACCCCTAGCGCAGTGCTGGACTGGACCCGTAAAGCGACTACCTGAAGCAGGAGTTCTCCGGTACTGAAGTCACCAGCTGAGCACAGGGACAGGTTGCCCCTCTTTGGGATATCTCCCGGGTCTGGTGAGTTTCCTACTTCCCTCTCCTGAGTCCTCACCTGCTGAGCGGGCGTTCCCCCGGAAGCAGAGACAGCCAGGAACCTCAGAACACCGCAGGACGTGGCAGAATAGTTCATAGCTTCTGCCACCAATCTCCTGCATTTGCTTACCATTTTTAAATTAGGGACTCTGTGCGTGTGCATGTGTGTGTGCGTGTGCGTGTGTGTGTGTGTAAAGGTACAAATAGAAAAATAGGGAATCACAATAATGGCCAATGATTAACCAACACAGTATGTGCAGCAAATGATGGCAAATCCTTTACATATATTCTTCTTTAAACTTTAAAATCCTATGGTGTTGACATACCTAACCCTTATATTACATGTAAAGTTAGAGAAGTTGACAGAACTAACCCATGTCAATTAAGAGGTAAATCATAGGACTGGGGTTCAGACTCAAGTTCATGGGACACCAAAGTTCATTATGTTGACTTTTGGTCTTTTTCTTCCTCAAGAGGCATGACACCAAGAATGGCTCTGAAATCTTGAAACCCTGAGAGTCTAACTCACCCAGGGTCCCCCTCTCTTGTGCCTAACATTGTTCCTTTCATCCCAGGGAGTTGATTAGGGAAAGTAAAGGACCATGAACTCACACCTGAGACCCAGAGCCCACCCCTACCATTTGAGGGGTTCCCTACTGTGCCACTACTTCTAGCCATTTTCTGGGCTCTGCTGGGTTAATTCCCTGGGTCACACTGGCCAAAGTCTTCTCAGGTGTGTCCCTCTGAACCTCAGACCCTCTCCTGCCCCACCCTTCTGGCACAGCACCCAGAATGCATGCCAAGAAACTGGCAGGAGAATAGGACAGGTCAGTCTGTCCCCTTTTCATCCTTGTCCCTCACATTTTACAGACTAGCCTGGTCCCAAGGCTCCGGTGGAATAAGCATCCAACTATGGACCAGACCAAGGAGAAAGAAAGAGGACAGGGCCCCTAAATTCACTTTACAAATTGATTAAAAAATAACACAGAGCTCCTATAACCCCAGCACTTAGGGAGGCTGAAGCAGCAGGATAGCAAGTTCAAGTTCCACATGGACAGCTTATAAAAAATAAAAAGGATTGGCAATATATCTCAGGGGTAGAGTGCTGAAAAAAAAATCCTCTTAGTGCACTACCATCTTTGTAATAGATTAGGCTCACAATCAATGGGATTTTAAATTTCCAATACTAGGAATTGAACCCAAGCAGGCTCTACCACTGAGCTACATCCCCAGTCATTTTTATTTTTGCTGGGATTACAGGCAGGCACCACTGCGCCTGGCTTAAGTGGATGTTTGAAGTGCCTGTTTGCTAACTTAGTAGAGGGAGTATGATTTGATTACGGGCCAGGGATGCTTGACTGTCATTCCATCTTTGAACTTCCAGAGTTAACTAACAATAAAGTTGGTGCCTCTGCCCTGTGGGTCCTGGATGCATGTGGGTACTTCTTACATCAACCTGGAAGCTGATCTGGGCAGATGGTTTTTGCTCATCCTATCCTACCTACTCCCCCGCGTATCTGTGTTGTAACCCTTCTGGGTCCTCTTCTCTGTATCTGACCCTTAGTAGGTGTTAAAGTAGAGTTGGATGCGTGAATGAACCCT